GGCCGCCGTCTGCGCCTGCCCCGGTCGCCAGCAGGTGCATCAGCCCTGCGACGCTTACCCCAGGAACCCGTGCTTCAACGGGGGCGTGTGCGTGGACACCCAGCATGGCTACAGGTCAGTTGTGGATTCTTTCAAATGGCGATTTACTGCTATCGGGCGAGGCGGCGATTGTCAGAAAAATCTGGCGAGAGCGGTCATCGGACGAAGCGTACGTTACATGGGTGTGCTTGAGCAAGTGTGCGGTGGATCGCCTCAGTTCTTATGGCGTTCATTGACCGAGCCTGTCATGTACTGGTCGATGACTCTGAGTCTTTTTATTTCAATCCTGCCTGGTGGTGCCAAAGAAGAGCAATCACATTCGCCATTGTGTATGCCACACACGATTCGTGTCCATGTTACTTCAAGCATGTTGTCAACTTTATTTTATTTTTTTGTCTTTGTGGATTATTTGTACTTGTCGTGGTTGTTTCTGTTGTGTAAGCTGGCTTTTATCATTGGCATAATCCCAATTATTGTTACGATGCACATTACGCCTGACAGTGTTCAGTAAAATATATTCTATTTATGTTTTATTCAGTTGATAATTTCGAACGCGTGAGTCCATTTCTATTGTTCAAGGTGGTGCTTTGGATGAGTAACTGGCAAATGGAGACATCACGGTACATTTTGCGCATACTGTACAATATGTCCTTAACGTGCATCGGAGTATGTTTATTTGGCACTCACTGGACTATTTCTTGTCCTTTTGTTTTTTAATTTTTTTTGTCCCCCCCCCCCCCCCCCCCCCCCCACACACACACACAGCAAGCTCTGAGCTTATGAAACAGCACTTTACTTGAATTGTCATCCTTGTGCAGACTGCATTTACTTGATGCATTAGTGAGTCACAAATGTCAGTGTAATTACAATTCCAAAAGAGGATCCCCTGTGGTTAGCCCTCGCCACCGCGCCTTTTTGTCGCAGAAATTTGCTCGCCTCGTACGCCGCCGGCATATCAATAATTCATAAGATGTCATCAAGTCCCGAACGGTTGCCACATTTGTCTGGAATTAGCCCGGCCCTCTCCCCTGGCTTATTATTTATTGAATGCAAAACAAAAAACACCAGCAGCTCGGAGGCCACGGCGAGCATGTCAACATGTGATCGGAGGGGGCTGATCGGTAATGGAGTCCATCAAAACAAGCGGGGAGGCCCATCAGACCGGGTTGTGACACTTGGTGAAGCAGCATGTGGCTCTCAGCCGAGCAGGTCATGTCGGAACACGGTGCTTCAAGCAAACAGTGTCGCCATGGAAACACAGGATTCCTTTTTTTTAATTACAAAGGATCATGCCACTAAGAATGTAAGCTGATTGGGCGTTGAATAATTTTTTTTATTTTGATGTCATCAAGTCATTGTTAATTTGACGGATCCTTTCCTTTTTTTTTTAATTACAAAGGATCATGCCACTAAGAATGTAAGCTGATTGGGCGTTGAATTAAATGTTTTTTTGTTGTCATCAAGTCATCGTTAATTTGACGGAAGTCGCGCCACCCGATTCATCGATGACATCGTTGACCTTTTTTCAATTTTTTTTATTTTGATGTCATCAAGTCATTGTTAATTTGACGGAAGTCGCGTCACCCGATTCATCGATGACATCGTTGACCTTTTTTCAGCACAATGCGGTGGTCCCAACCAAGTGTCGCTTTCATTGTTGTGATGTTGGTGCGTGTTGCACCGTAGCGCTCAACTCCCTCCGATAAAATCGCGCCAATCATCTCAAAACAAAGTGGGATTGTTGCTATTCAATTTCTACACACTTTAGCGCCCCCTGCTGACTCTGGCATCACTCCATCGAATTC